GGCTTTACTTTTATGGACTCAAGGTAGCAAGATAAACAGAATGAAAAAGCAACAGGCTTGAAATTAAACTTGGTTATTGACTTGTAAGTGAAAGACATTTCTATAGGGAGAAAAGGTAATAGCTTTTAGGGTCACTGGTTACTTTGGGTGCATAATTAGATTTAGAGTGCAAATAGCCTCTAGGTTAAGAACTGATGCATCACAAGTTGACTCGTGGGCACTAAGCTATTTTATTTTCTCTGGAAACTGCTATTTTTAAAGCATGCATGGTGTGAATTATGTCCACTTTTGATGAAAAGAAATAATCTTTCCTGTAGCCTCAGAAAGACTTAGCGGTCAAGGCTGGTGAAAGTCAGCCAGATTTACACCTAAAGTGCTGCAAAGCTCATTGCGGATCTTGACGCCTCATCTACAGAGGGGTTCAAGGCTTGTTGTCATCTGGGCTTTTGGAGTACTGAAAAACAGACAGTAGAATACCCACTGCAACAGTTCTCCACACCTCAAGTTCACCCTGTCCAGCCACCAAAGAGAATGATTCTGCTTAATTTATCAATACACCTAGTAATTAATTGCAGTAGTTTACTGTTGAATGAATTGTACGTTTGCACTTCTCCATTGCTTCTTTTGCGGAAGATTGCTTCAGCAGATACTGGCACTATCACTTACTTTGTGGTTATTTAGAAATAGCCAAGAGTGAACAAAGCTGTACTCCTTGCCTGTTCAAGTTCAGAAGTTGGCTTGTAGCCCTAACTTCTTCTTTTGGATCTCGTCAGGGCTTTTATAAACTAAACAGGAGAGAATTGGCACTTTAGTGCTTCCAGAGCTTGTTAACATCTTGTTTTTATGGATTCAAACATGCTACACATGCATTTCAAGGGAGAGTTACAATCTTGGTGCTTGCAGGGAAAGATTGCACAGAGAAGCAGATGCAGCTGCATTAGTAATTTACTGAGTGGTTCTTTGCCATGTGTCTTGGTATTAAATCGATGTATAGATATCTACTTGCTGTAGACAACATTGTTGGGGTGAAGCTAAAGTGCAAGCTCGCAGCTGACTTGGGTCAGTTAAACAGATAACTGAGGTTCGTCGTGACATCTTTGCTGAATTACATGGGTACAGTGTTGTTTTGAAATAAACTTGTCATATAAAGCTTCTAGTTAGTGCCTTCCATAACCTACTATTTCCTATCTTTTTAAAATTATTATTCTCTGAATTTATAAGTGGAGCTGGGAATCATTTGGCTATTAAGTTTGTCCGTCCAGTACTTCACATAATAATACCATGCTTTGTTTTGCTGTAACTTTAACAAAATGTAACTGCCTGGACTGAACTGTCCAAGCCTAGTCTCAAGCCGATTTCTTTTTTAAGACATTTAGCTAAAAGAGCTCATTCGCATCCAAGAATGAGTCAATTCAATACTCTCTCTGATTAAAAAAGAAACCACTCAAAAAAAACTACAAAAAAAACCCAAACCACCAGTGAACAACCACAAACCCCAAACCTGGACTCTACAGGATTGAGGAAAAGCTACCTAAAGCTATGAAGGGATTTGACCTTCAGTTGTTCCTTTGAAATCTGCTCGTATTGAACAAAGCAGTACATCTGTGAAAAATTGCAGTTGAGATATGCGTAGTGGTGATGACCGCTGTGTCAGCTGTTATATTCCCCAAAGGCTCTATTTGAGCATACTGGAAGGTTTCCCCCCCCAAAACCACAGCACTCAGCAGAAGCAAGATGCGTTGGATCTGGTTAAGGGGCAGGAGGGCAGTAGTGCAGGGGGGCTGTTCCCCCTGCGGAAGGGGCTGTGGGGCAGAGCGTGGAGTGTGCCAGGAGCTGGGGATGGACATGGGCTGGGCTGGCATGGGAGATGCTGTGAAAAATGGGAGGGGAAGTGCTGCTTGAACTCCGGTGTAACTAGAACTGGGTAAGAGGTAGGGGTAAAATAGCAAGGACTGGCTCATGTTGGGAGGGGAGGAGCTGGGTGGTAGAGCCAAGAGAAGGAGATGAAACAAAATCGAGGTGAGGGACTGCCCCGTTGCGTGTGTGCACACGCACCTTGGGGCACTTAAACACTGCCGTGAAAAGCTGGATTCTACCTGTGTCATTCCTATGGCATTCTTAAGATGCCAGGCAAGGAAATGAGACTGTGTGTTTCTCAGAAATTATCCCCTGTTTTCTATTTTTGTCTGTCTGGGTACACAGTTTAACAGTGAGATTTGAGTGACAGACGAAGCACTCACAGATGCTGCGGAAGTCTCTAGGACCCGAGCCTTGGAAATACAAGGATGTAACAATATGAACTGAATGAATCATTGACACCTCAAATTGGTTGTCAATAAACACATTAATCATGAGTCATTCAGCGGCTAAAATCAACAAGATGAAAGCCAATGTGTATTCCTTGAGTAGCCGTTTGTGTGCGAGGTCAATAATAAAAACATGGGATCCAGGACTGCTCTACGGTAATTTCAGGTTTGGCAAAATATGAAGGACACATACTGCATAACATTTCCACGGAATAAAATTTATATGAGCTTCAAGATGGAATGCTGGTTGGAGCAGATGCTTTTGGGAATTCATATTATTTCTTTTCTCATTTTTGGTTTATTTTTGTTTTCACTGATACTAGCAAAAAAAAATTCCGTCACTTGTGCACTACATTTGTGCAGGGTACAGTTATTACTAGACAGCCAACAATTGCACTTATATGAGGGTAACTGAATTTGCATTAGCTTTAGTTTAGCTATCATGAATAAAAATAATCATACAGGTGTCGTAACGGGACTTTGGTGCAGACTGGGAATGTATTTTGTTTGCTACCAACTCCAAAATTCATCCTGCTGCATCTCTGTGACTGTTGCTATATGAACTGACCCAATTAAAGCTAGCAAAGGTCTAACTACACGTATACAAGGGAAGTTAATTGGAAGTCTCTGTATGGCTTAAGAGACTTTTGGTATGCCTCGTGCAGAGAGATACTATTGGTAGTTCATATGAGCAGGATGGGACTATTTGGTGCCTGAATGTCATGAGTTAAAAGTCAAAGGGCAAAACGTTGGTTTCTCTTAAAGCCAGGGGAAGTTTTGCTGTTAACTTCAACAAACCTAGGATTTCTCCCTTGATCCTGTAACCTCGTTTTTTGGAGAGGAAGGAGTTGTGTTGTACTTTTAGTTCTTGAGGCTTCACCAAGACTCTGTATTCTAAGCATTTTTTAATTATCTTTTTTTTACTCTGATTGTGTTTTGTGGGAAACTAAATTGAAAGTGTGCTTAAGGGCCCCAGAGACCTGCTGTGATAAACTATGTCAGGAGAAACTGAACATCTGCTTGATACTCGGACACAGCTTTAGCAGAACTCCTAATCGTTCAAAAGAAATCGTAGAAAATCTGTTTGCTTTTAAGTTTCAAACCTCATTGCTCAAACTTTAAATTTTAATGTCCTTACATACAAATAAAAAAAAGTAGAAAACTCAATACAAAATATTTACCACCTAGGCAGAAAATATATAAAAGAGGAAAGGAAAGAAAATCAAGCAGTTTTGCAATTTTAGGGTGGTTTTACACAAAGGCAAATTCAAAACCGAATTCTGGAATATAACAAAAATCTGTTTCATACTAACATGAGAATGTTTTAACAGTGATTGTGTTGTCTTAACAAACACCTGTTTTATCGTTGTATGTCACATGTGAAATGAAATGGACTTTATAGTAAATAGATTTTTTTTTTAATTTCAATTAACAATTTTTTACCATAAGGAAAACATACAGAATTTGTGTGGAAATCCATGTACTGTGTTTACTCAGATAAAGATAATACTTTGCTGCAAACTTTTAAATATAATAAAATGCATTTAATAGCAATCTTTTGTGGTATCATCATTATTTATGGACGTAACATTCAAAGTACGGAAATTCAGTTGTGGATCAAAATGACCATAAAAACAGTAACCCAAAGAACCTTATAAACATGTCAACACCCATCATTTATCACAGATGGCTCATACCAATGTAAAAAACATATAAAATGTAGTATAATTCTCAACATATGGTTTACTTTGTTGCATTGTTCCTACATATTATTTTTGTTAAAATATAGGAAATTATATTATGAAGAGAATATTGTTTTTTGTTTATTAAACTAAAGTACAGGTTAAAGTCATTCTTTCCTTGCGATGAACATATACCAACAGTGATTAAAAAATAAACATTTATTTACAAAATATTGATGCATACATATTACACAAGTCAGTTATATCAAAGTGGTTTTTTAAACAATATCTGTAGCAACCAACTATTTGCATTGGTTTATCATAGTGCAAACGGTAATGTTGCAAAGGCAGGTTATAATGTGGGATTACGATTTGAACGTTAGACTTCTCTGCTGCCTTTTGTTTTACTACGTCTAGAAAACTACTTCCTTTCATTTAAAAATATTTCTTGCGAATGTTGAATCGTGTACCTGAGGATAGGGCAAATTCATTATTAGTCTAAATTCTTTCACTTAGATAACTATCCTTCTATTTACTCAGCCTGCTTACATAGCACCATTGCCATTGATTACTAACATACTAATGAGAAAAAGGAATGGAAACACGCTAAATACACTATGCCATCTCTAATTTCAGGATTTGTCCATTTATGTGGAATTTCATCTGATACATTTCACAATTCTGCACTATATATTCAAGTGTTTAAGGATGATTTTGGTAGTAATGTGTAGTGGTGTATATGTGACCAGTATATAATTTTCTGTAAATACAACGTTAAGTGAAGCTGTGAAGAAATGGAGTTAAAAGCCCGCTCCTTCTGTCCTCAGATGAGAAGGAGCTTGCTTTTGATTACCAACGTGTACTGAAACCTGCGTATAAATTTGCGTCTGAATGACTGAATATTGATTCCCTCACAATGTAAGAACTTCATGTGTTAAATCCGGTGATTTTGATTGTAGCTTTTCTGTTTCAGTGGCTCAAAGCCAGCCATCAGGTAACTATATTGTCCTTTAGTTCACGTTCTGTAGCTGGTGCTGCACTAAATCTGTACGATAGCCTATCATACAGCATATAGGATGTCGGCAATGCCTAGCGTATGTAACTTCACAGTTTCAAAGACTGGTGAGGGGGTATAACTTTTTTTTTTTTTTGGTAGCTTCCACAATTTATGGAGCAGTGGATCTCACAACGATCTCATGAGCACCCGCAGCGATCTACAACCATGGCTGGTATCTTGCCGTATATTATTTGTTCTTTCCCATTGAAGTACAGCATGTTTATGGGGGACATCTTGGTGGGCGTGCAGCAAGGGCCTGCCGAACCTCTGGGGTTTGCTTGGTGTACGAGGTGAGTGTGCGGATATTTTTGTAAAAATACAAATTCACATTCTCCAGAGCAGTAATTTGCTTTGTATCTTTTAGGTGCAATAATCCAGTCCCACCCGAAAGCTTCAAAATCCACTGTCAGCGGGTAGCGACAACATCGGGATTCTGTCGAGTGCTCGTCGCAGTCAAGGCCAAAATCTCTGCGGGACCGTTTTGGTGTGTCTGTAACTCTGACCTCTAAAAATGGGTTCTGTCAGGAGAGGAGAAGGAATCAGAAGCATTACTGAGGTAAGCCTAAATTCAGTAAAAACATGCAAATAAATAACATTTCAGACATAGATATATCAAATTAATATTCTGAAATCATGATTGCAAACAAAACTTTGTCCTGCTGCAAATCTCTGCTATGGTTGATCTCTGCTCGAGGATTGTTGTTATTTTTCATGCTGAGGACCAGCATTTCCCTGCTGTTTCTCTATAAAGAGCTTTAATTCCTGATTATCTGTTCTTTAAATCACCATTATCTCAGTGCTAGTATCATTTCTGTTAACTGCTACACGAACGTTTCAGAAATTTGGAGGATGCTGGATTTCTACTTTTGACGTGGATTTTGTTTGTTTGTTTTAAACTCCAAAATAAGAGCTACTTTTTTTTTTTTTTTTCTGTAGAAGAACTCACAAAAGGAAACAAAGAACTCCAAAAACTTTTAAAGGCCAGGACAAACTGGTGTTGATCTCCCTTTTGTGAGTCCTTCTGAAATTCCCTCCATTAAAATCATATTGAGTTCAGGCTTTCTGGATATCAAGGAGAGCTTCTTGTCCAGACCAAGGAGGACGAAATTTCCTCTGTAAGTGCTGTCATGCTTGAAGGACTGCAATGGCCATAGAAATGAGTGTTTCACTTGTTACTTGTACTTCACAGCTTGTAACTGCACAGTACAAGTTACTTGTACTTCACAGCTTTCCCTTCTGCCAGAGGGCTGACTGTACTGTCCTGAATGCACAGGGGCAGCTAATATTTTGACTCCTGAAAGAGTCCTGTGGCCAGGAATGTACTTTTGGCAGATCTCTGAGCCACGTGCCTCCTACAGAAGGTGTGTTTCCACTGTCAGCAACTGAGAATAGAAAGAAATTGCAACCTTCACAATCACGAGTTTGAAAAAGTTCCCAGAGTTTCCTCTCTTCCACGCACTGATTTCAACCCTGTGTTGGTTTGGCACTGACTGGGCTGTCCCATGAAGGAAGACCGTTCCTTAGGAGTAAATAACAGCCCAGCTAACTTTGTTACATGGGTTTGTCCCTTCCAAGATACCCGCCTTTGCGGCTGCAAGTTGTCCCGCTGATGGAGACACTCCTCCCAAAGGTAAATGATATGGGGAGGGGCATGGTGAGAGGAGCATCCCCGTACTGGGAGCTGCCAGGGAGGAGCCAGAGGGAAGGGAAGATAAATTTCCTCTTCCATTATCAGCCATGCATCTAACCCTGCCCTGCTGCTGGATATTTTTTTTTCTTTTTTTTTAAGGATGATGATAACCATGGGTTATCCACATGTGTGAAAACACAGCATTGCGTATTTGAACGGATGGAGCTGGTGAGGACGTTACTCATCATGATATCCAGCTGGCCTTTTTCAAGTATGGGAGATCCACATCTATACTGGATCTACAATTAAGATATTGCAGCGTTTTTCCTTTAAGTTCTTTTAATTGCATTATACTGCTATGAAGTTCAGCGTTACATAGCTACATAAATACGGTTGGACTCAATGATCTTAAAAGTCTTTTCCAATGTAAATGACTGTATGATAAACAGATTGATCTACTGTGTAGAAGTAAAATAATATTCTTTATACTTTATTCAAAAGGAGGGATTTCTTTGTTGTGATTGTTTCAGCTGTGATAAGTTCAGGAATTTTTACAGGTTATAGATGATTAGTGATTTGCAGAAACAAATAACAAGGAAAATTCTGTAGTATTTTAACTGGTACACTTCAGGTTCTCTATGATAAACAGATTGATCTACTGTGTAGAAGTAAAATAATATTCTTTATACTTTATTCAAAAGGAGGGATTTCTTTGTTGTGATTGTTTCAGCTGTGATAAGTTCAGGAATTTTTACAGGTTATAGATGATTAGTGATTTGCAGAAACAAATAACAAGGAAAATTCTGTAGTATTTTAACTGGTACACTTCAGGTTTCATTTGTTCATCTGTACTTACAAAAAGAAACCAGAGAGTTATTTTATGCTCTTTCTCATCATTATGATTCATTTATTGTATCAAGCAGAATTTCTCTGTTGAAACGTTTCTAATAGATGGAATGATGCACTCTGTCACACACTGAAAGGTACAGAACTTAACATTATGAAGAAGATCTGTTCTTACCTTCATAAACACAGATCAAAAACCTGCTGCTGTTAACAGAAAATATGTGCATACATAGTAGGGAGAAACCTCCTCGCTTTCTCAGCAATATCGGAGGCAACTTTCCTATCAGTGAAAGAATCTAACAACTATTCTTTTAGCTTTATGTAAAATAACTGCTTATTAAGCGGTATTTGCTCTCAAATTTGAAAACAATGTTACTTTGATAGTGTCATCCATCAGTAATTACCAAAACATTTTCTAGTTAATGCCTCTCAACATCCCTCTGAAGTACGGCAATTTGTCTTGATTTTTCAAATAGGGAAACAGAGGCACAGGAATGCTATTGATTTTGATGTGATTGGAGAGCAAAGAACAAAAGAATTGGATATACAGAACTTTTGTCTTCCATTCCCTAAACAATACTTCCATTTTATCCTTGAAACACAACTTAAATGCTTTCCAAAAAAAAAGCAAGATATTTAAATGGTATTTTTCTAAATAAACTTACCAATCCATCTTCACCTGGTCCTGGGAAAGTTACAGCAAGATCTCGTCCATTCTCATCAAAAGCTTTTATTTCGATGCCTAAATTGGATTCAGGCTGTTTGAGCCAATTTTGCAACACTGTCTTCACATCAATACTCTGCCAAATACCAGTGCCTGGGTTCATGTCAAGTTTCAAAGATCGAATTCCAGTATATCTTGTACCGTCTTTCATGGGTTTAATAAGTCTCAGGATCTGCACAAACACTGTTGTAGGTTTTTGGACTTGCCTCAAGTATATCCACAATTGTGCCTTTACTACTTTGTTATATTGTATTTTAGAGCTAAACTTAAAGAAGCAACATTTTGGTTTTCCCTCCATTTGTACAAGAAAATCAGCTATAAATGAATGGAAAGAACAGATTACTGAACAGGGAACAAAAAGAAATATGCATATATAAACCCAATTATTTTTTTTTCCAGAACGTGTAGGAAGTCTTACAATATGTTATAAACAGTACCAGTAACAAAGTGGATTTAACTTAATTCAGTTTCTGTGGTTTACACTTAACAGCAAATTTAATGGATGTCAACAAAATCATTATGCTATCACCTAAAAGTAACATCATGTGACAAGGAACCGATGCTCATTTTGCAAACAGGCTAAAATGAGGTTTGGCTAATCATTTTCTAAGTAACTCTGGTTGGTACTGTGTGCTCCATCAGCTAAGCAGAGCGGAGGTGTGCTCGGGCTGAAACTCAGAAATGGGCAATCACAAGAAGATGCACGCTCCGGAGGAGCTTTGCGGTCCTTGGCGTGCTGGGGGTCTGACCAGCGGTACCAGTGCTGTGGGCTGACCTGTACAGCTGCAAAAAAAGCCTCTTTCCCAAACAAAAACTACCTGGGGAGAGGCCACAGCCTATTGCACTTCACAGTGACTACTACCAACTCACTTCTGCTAGTCATCTCCTGAGGACCTTCACAAAGCACACAGAATAGCAGCTTTGCGTGAGCTGACTCAGCATGCGTGGTGATCTAGCTGTTTCTAATTTACTAAATAGCCTTAGTGTGCTACGCATCATACAGACAGAGGCAGCCAGGGGCAAACTACGCAAACACTTTAATTCCTTTTCTCAATGGGAAAAAAATAATTAAGAGCGTATTAATCTAAGGATCATTTTGTTTTCTTTTCATTTGAACAATTTTATAGGAAAGTCATGTGGAGTGCTGTGTTCCTCCTTCCTGTAGCCTGCGATGCAGCTGTCATACCTAGTCATGGCAATATCTTTCCCTGCCAGGATAAAATGGGTAATACTAATCTTAAATGGTGCAGGGCTTTGACGTTCATAAATCTCGCCACTTAAGATGCCTGTCTCCTTAGTGCATTTAAAACTGTTCAAGGGCTTTTGTATGAAAAATCGGAAATGAACTCGGATCAATGAAGCTCAATGACTTTTCTCCAGCCACTGTAATTGTGTAACAGTTTAATTAAAAATAGTTATAAAGCCTTGGACAGAATAGGCTGGAATAAAACTGCTGGCAGACCTCAACTTTGTGATAAGGCTGCAGTAATATATTGCTATTAAGTAAGTACACATCTTATTAATTTATAAGTGAAAAATTTTAGAGAAACAGTTACTTTTTCCTCGATGCGTACATTTTTAGCTGGCTAGAACAGCTGATATTCTTCTAGTATGCGTATTGTAATGATATCTGTAACTGCTAACATGCCTTATATGTCCTGTCATCTTTTTCCTTTTTGACATCATATTCGTGTTATTTAAAAAAACAGCTGCCATAGCCAAATACTTTAGCTGATGAAGAACATAAGATACTATAGTATTAACCGTGCAAAAGATACTTGATAGGAGCCATAGCAGATGTTTAGCACTCAGAAGATAACTCAGAATCTGCTCATTCAGTAAATGCCTTCATTCTTCCTTGGTACGACTACTGGAGCTGATTGCTATAGCATGGACATTTTAACATTTAAATCTGTTACACACATATTTGCTTTAAATATATAGTTTTAACTCAGAAGTGGGTGGTGCTAGTTTATGGGATCAGCAAAGAAGCAAGAATTTAACTCTATACTTGCACTTGCTGTAACATGTTGCAGTCAGGTAGGTCTAGTGCTCTAAGCTGTATATTTCTATTGCTCCTAAAAATACTGGGCAGTGAAACCTCCCTCAGAAAAATATAGTTATCTTGTTGTCTGCACTTGTACTTCACGTTTGTGACAGGAAATGCCCTGAGTGCTGCAGATAACGAAATCAACTAAACTGCAGATCTCCCTTTGCTCTCTAAGGCAATGGGCAAATCCTAAGTGCTACAGGGCATTCACGTTCTAAGGAGCCGAAAACCGAACAGTAAAACAAAGGATCGCAACATGGTCATCTGAACCTGGCTCAAATTCTTTAGAAATAATGCTCTCCTCCCTCCCTCTAGCAGACTTCAGCCAGCAGCTTGTTGGGAGAGCCCGAGGAGGAGTTGCGTGGCTCTACAGCAGGGAGACAACTCTCTCGGAGGAGCGGCGGGAGGCGAAAGCAGGAGGGTTACTTACACTCCGTAGGCATTGTGATAATCGTTTCGGTGGTGGCATGATAGTCATCGTCTTCCAAAGAGCCATCGCTACTGTCGTCCCTCTGGACGTCATATTGATCAATCAGTTCCTGTAGTGGAGGAGCTTTGGGTAAAAGTTGTTTAATAACATCCCTGCTAATGTTCGGAGCTTGTTCCAGACGCAGTTTGCTGAGGATTTGAATTTTTATGGCTTCTATTCTGGAAGATTTTGTATTCTGTCTCCACGTACAAGCATTGCACAGTCCATCTTTTTCGGCGTTCTCTGTGGGCTGACTACTGTCATCAAGAGCCACCGGATCAACTGAAATCAGCATGAACAGGTAAATATAAACATAGACCGCTAGCTTTTGCATGATCTCACGTTCAGTGCTGTGCTTTTCCCTTTTTTTTTTTTTTTTTCCCTCCCCCTTTCCCTTTCAGTACTAAACAGATCCGTGAAAGCAAATGCAATCTGAGAGACAGCTTGCCACACTGGTGTACCTTATATATTCCAAGGGGGCTTTTTATACTCCAACTTTGATTAGGCTCATGTCGTCAAACCCGACGATTGGTTGCTGTCCCAACAATGAATCTGGCTGTCAGAGGGTAAAGCCCTGTCGATCACAAGTCACTAGACAGCGTCTAGTTACAGCCAAGGGTGAACTGATTTATCTGGGTGCTTCGTAGAGGATATGTCTTTGCATACTGAAAGGATATATTTCCAAGTATTGTGGGCAGCAGTACTGAAAGACAGCACTGTCATTCTTAAATATATACCAACCGTGTACTTGTACTATGAATCAAGACAGACCTCTCTCTAAACTTCCTTTAGGCTTGTACCAGTCTTTTTGACTTGAAAGTTTCTGCTATTTAAAAGAAACTCCCAAGGGATTACTGTTAGCAGGCAGGAAAAAAATACTTTAGAAATGCATTGCAAACAGGACTAACTTATGTTGTTCAACAACTGAAATATATCCAGCAGTTCCTATTTCAGAAAACCTTAACGGGTTTTCCTGCTAGGTACTGGCTAAAGCAGAAATGAAGATTTTGTGCATATATGAGACTATGTAAATGCGTATCTTATTTGTTTGTCCCTTTAGTGTATATCAAAATCCACAGAACGAACCCTTTACTGAATTAACAGCCAGTTATGAAAAATGTGTCTGTCCTCTCTTCATACTGTCACCAGGTCAGCAAAGTCCTGGGCAGTAAAATAAATATTGAGTGATCTCTAGTGGCAAAGGTATTTTTTAAGGAATATCTTTAGCTACTCACTCCAGTATTATACTAGAATAGTCTAGCTTGCTTTTTCCATTATTAGTGAAAGCATTAAAAGACTTAAAACATTTAAATCTCTACTGTGAGTATATCTTCTTTTTCCATGTAATCTTTTATTTCTGTTCAAAATGTTTCTAAGTATACTAACTTAATTGATACCTGTCTGTGCTTTCTTTTGCTTTCTACTCAAGTACTTGTAAGTTCTCTATATCCTGCTTGTATTTTTAAAATTAGAGTTTTAATATGCTTTCTGCATAAGAGAGATACATCTAGATGTGATTTTATACTTACGGATTATGGCTTATAAAATCTTACAGCAATGTAGTTCACATTGTATGTGCTGTAAGCAAGAATTATGGAATTCACGCTAGTTGCGGGGGGGCTGCGGCGTTACTGGTCAGCATAGGCTGTATATTACAGCAAATGGAAACCATGGAATTTGTATATATTCTATATATTTGCATATTTGGAATCTGTATATTACAGCAAAGGGAAATCCTGGAATTTCATGCAATATGCCAAAGCTTGCCTATCTAATTTAGGACTGAATTGTCAGTTTCTTGCTGGGTTTCTCTTCTTTTCCCATTCTAAGTACACCTAAAAATGTGGCAAACAGGTTTTTTTGCATATGTTCGTGTAGGAAAAATGCTGATATATGGAAAGATGTGGGACAGAACTTTCAAAGAGTTTTTTTTTCTGCCTGGTCATTCATATTCTTTTGCGTCACCTCTCTAGGACATGCAAATTTGTTGCATAGCACAGAACTGAGCCTAATATTCAGCTCATGACCAGTGACGTAAATCATGAGTATTCAATTGAAATTGATTGTCCGACCCTGGTGTAAAGTTGATGCAAGCAATATCACGCTCACACATTCCAGGCCTATGGCTTTAGGGTCAGACCCTGATGTTCTGATTTCAGCCAAAATTCCCATTTCAAGCAAGCAGTTTCACTTCTTAGCTCCTCAGCGTTTGCTTTTTACACAAGAGATCAGCGCAGCTACTCTTAACATGTGGTGACATAAAAGGGCTCATGGTTCACTGGAAGCAGAAGTCAGGATAGATCTGAGTTTGCAGTGGAGACTGCCTGCCATGCCTATAACATTTTTTAAACAGACTCTTAGTGCATTTCAAGTGCTGGAAATGTATTTTTATGGAAGATGCATAGGATGATTCACAGTAAGAATCTTTTTGAAAACCACTGACCCTGTCGGTGAATTTTTGGGGGGTTTAGGTTGGGGTTTTTTTGTTTGCTTGTTTACTATTATGACAGTGAATGTCATAATAAAACTATTTTTTACTATTTTTTTCTTTTAAACCAGAGTGACTTAACCAGTTGGGTATAAAAGGGAATCTACCCCCAAGCGGAAACCTTGACAGGCACCAGAAACAGTTTTAAAATGATCCATCGACAAACAGGTGGAAATAATGATGCAGCCATTAATATCAGAGTAATTAAATGCTCTGGCAGTCCGTGGGTGTAAGCCACTTGTGTTGGAGAGGGGACAAGAGAAGTGCTCAGCAAAGCAATGCCTCCAGCACCGTGACTCCTCTTTGAATGTGTTCTGCAGCGGCCACCCTGGTCCCTGGCCTCCTCCTTCTCCTTCAAGGTCTTCCCACTCTGACTGTGGCTCACCATGAGCATGCAGTACTTCAATTTTATTTTTTTTCCCAATCTTCTGCAACGATTCCATTCATCTGAAAAAAAAAGGGCCCTTTTATTCCCCTCTGTGAGGCATTTATTTATGACTGCAGGGCCAAAGTTGTCTCCTGTAAGCCTGAAACCCCAGCAAGCTCCAAGCAAGAGCTGAGCTTGCTCTCAGCCACCAAGGTGGCACATGGTGGCAAACAGGTCCTACTGAGCACCGTGCCTCTGCTCCCTCTTTAGAAGTAGGAGGTAGCAATAGCAGCTGGGGTGGTGGGTGACATAGGAACTACTGACCAAGGATGACCAAAGAGCCCCAGAATTCACCAGCAGCTGCATAACCAAGAGCAATATTTTTCCATTTCCCTCATAAAGTGCACTTCATATCTGCATACTCTGAGTAACTCTAGGCTGTTAGTAGATTACCTTTCTCTTCATCTCTTGTTGTTGCTGACTTTTTCTTTTCTATGAAACGGCAAGAATTTGGAAGAGAACGTAAACAGTTGCACTTGATCAGGAGCTATTGAAGGATCTACTTTCTTTGATAATAATAGTAATACAATATGCAAATTGTTTTTCTGTCTGACTTTCATTGTAGTGTTTTTGGAAAGTGATGACTACAGAAGTAGGTGATAAAGGTGAGAAAAGTAAGTGATAAAGCGACCAGGTAAAAGTCGTTCCAAAAATTTATTTGGCAAAAAATAATAATTAAGAAAAACAAACAACCCACATTACCACCAGCAAATCTAAATAAGAGTTAAAAATGAAATGCACATCTTACTGAACTTTATGGCATTTTAATATTATCTTTGGGATTTGTGTCATTCTACCCGCCGTGCCTGCCAATAGTGAAGAGTATTCCCAATCCTGACTATTCAAAGATCATGGCTCAGGCCCCCAAAATCAATGTTCCTTTCTAAAGGAAAAAGGCACACGTCTGTATACCTGTCAGCTTCTCCTCTCCTTTCCCCCTTCCACCAGGAGCTTTTGTACTCATTGGAAAACCTAAAAATAAAAGAAGATAAAAAAAAAAAAATCCAAACCCACCCCCAACAAATTTGACCGATACAGAGGTTTCAAAGACACTGTGTTACTGCGAGTTTTATGGAAAAACAGTGACTGTGTAGAGGAAAAGGAGATTACTAATGCCCTCCCTGAGGAGAAGGCAAACAGAGCCCAACCATGACCCATCCTTTTTGGCAGCCTCTAATTAGCCAATCAGCGTGTGCTTCTCCGTCGTTAGTCAGCATGCTGATAGCTCTGGACCATCTACAGTGTGTCAGCCCTTGCTGGGCCAGCAACCCAGAAAAAATAGATGGGGAGCAGGATGGGATTTGAGCTTGTTTTGGGGGTGGATCAAGTGGACATGGAAGGGAACCAGGACATTTCTGAGAAATGGGAGAGGTACAGGGGTATGGAGGAGCTGCTCTCGTGGCAGGGAAGGAGAGGGACGTGGGTTTATAACCCTGCCAGAAATCAGACGACTTCATCCTGTTGTAGGCTAGATTTCCAAACGCTTCCTCACAGCCTGCAGGACCAGAAATTCACTGTTCTTTTTTCTGTTGTTTAAGTTAAATGAAATAGTTCCCATAATTGATTCACCTCAGAAGGTAGAACGTGAAGAAAAAATCAGGTGTTTTGAAATGCACTGTAAATCTGTGATTGCTGTTTACATTGATGTCAAGCCCTACCTCTGAACCAGCTGGCTTCTCTCCCTGGCTTGTCTTGTAAGGGAGATACAGCATTCCTCCTGAGCTCCTGAGCGTGATACTCTTCGAGTCACCTTCTCTCTCACTTTTGTCAGCACAAAGCCCAATTTCTAGAATAGCATATTGAAATGGGTAGAAAATTCCATTTAAAATATTTTTGAACTGGATTCATCTCTCGCTTAGCTGCAATAAACTGGGAATAATGTTTGTGAAGTAATTTTGGTTGGAACAGTGACATTTCAACAGAAAAATTTTGACATATAATTAAATGCAATGGAGTTAGTGTGTTTTAAGTGCTTAACTATGAGCCCAGCTGCCTTAACTCACCAGGTGCTTGCTCTTAGCCACCTGAATCACAAGATAAACGCATTGATTTGAACCTCAAAGCACATATAAGGTCATGTCTATAAAACACCTAGAAAGAAACCTTGCAATAACAAAAAGCCTATGAAAATATCATCCCAATCACATTACGTAAACTAAAGCTGCAGGTACTATAAGGCAAAAGTAACTAAAACTTATTACCATGAACTAAAATATGAAAGCTTTAACTAGTATGAACTCTTGCTCTGTAATGAATGCCCTGAAACCGTTTGTCCTCTGCTATACTTTTTTTTTCCCCTACAAAAATAGTAATTTATAACGTTCTAAACGTTGTATCGTATCAGCTACTAGAAGTCAACTTTATTTTTTTATTTTGATGGTATGGACATTTAATTCCTTCAACTTACTAAAAAAGAAGTA